AAATTTGACTATTGCTGTATTTGTTAGATTTTTGTTTCTGGGACACAATATTTGACATACACAATTTAAAAGGGAAAAAATGTTTATTTTAGAGGTCTTGGTGCACAGTCCACTGGCTCCAAGACAGAAGCGCCTGTGGGGAGGATGCTGCTCCATTCACCATATCCAGGAAGCTCCCAGGGCCCGGGAAGGGCCAGACTCAGTCCCTAAGGTCCCACCCCCAAGACCTGCTCTCTTCAGTCAGCCCCACTTCCAAATAAGAGGTCATCAAGAATTAACCCCTGGATGAGATTACCACCGCCGTAATCCAAACTCTTCTAAGTGCCCTACTTCTGGACCTATGAGCCCCTGAGGGACTATTTTTAAAAAAAATTCCAAAACATGACTAAAGAATGGTAGAAGTCAGAGCACTAAAAGTATGTTGTGAAAAAGAAAAGTCCTGTAATGACAGAAAATATTACTCCAAAATAGTTGTGCATTTGCAAATCAAGATGATGTCAGCGTCTGTCTCTTTTCTTTTTATCATCAGCAGTGATTAGATAAACCTGGACACCGGAAGCTCCTTTTCTCTCTGCTGATTTGTCCCAAGAAGTAAATCCTTTTCATGAGAATTTTAAAATAACATGTAGAAAAATGTATTATTTAAACATAGGGTAATTAATCCTAAAATAATTGCATTCATTTGATCAATAAATATTTTATTATGAGTTGGAAATTACTTATACTCAAAGGAAACTTCAAATTATTCATGACTACTGAGGAAAATATCTAAGTTTTACATACATAATTTAATAGGTTTCGCTCATTATTAGTAAAAACCAGTTATATGTATTCAGGGGGTAGGAAAGAGGAATCTTACTTTATACTCAACAAAATTAAAGATTTCATTTAGAAAACCTAAAAATGTGATTATATTTACCATGTACATAACAGATTCAAAGTATAATCTACTCCATTGTAAGCTTTTGTTTTAACTTTTAGTACTCTTCTAGTTATAAATCATAGGACTGTGCGGGTGAATGGACCAGACCGTAGTTGGACTTCGAGCTGTCTCACACACAATTCAGAAAGTGTGTTCTATTTCTCAAATCACTTATTGCAGGCTTCTTAAAGTTAGTTTTTAGGTTGCCTTCTTAGTACTTTTCCTGACACGCTAAAATTCATTCTGTTTTCTATCTTTAATAAGTATCTACCAGCAATAAGAATAACATTATACAAACTTACATTTGGTTTTCCTTCAATAACTCTGAACAGAAACAAATGTAATCGAGAGTCGGTAATTTGTGTACTCTTTCATTTGAGAGCTGCAATCTAAAGAAAGAGCTGTGATAAATAAAGATTTCTTATTAGGAGCAACATGTAAGAATTATTGCTTATTTCAGTCCTGAGTTTTCAAAGGAGATGAATTACATAATCATATTAAACAACAGACTAGATAAAGAGAATCTCAAAGATGTTACAGATAAGAACATGGCAAATCATATCTAAATGAAGGTGCAGCATTCATTTCATTATGCTAGCACTTAAATAGCCAATAGGAAGCTATTTTGGTTACTTAAAAGCATTATTTTTAAAAGCTAATAATTATAAAATTCCTTTCCTAATTTTGAACCAGTTGAAGCTTAAATAACCTAGGGCTCTCGTTTCTTCAGTTAAAAGAGGATTAGGAAGAGAATTTCTATGTTACACAGCCATTATTTAAAAAACAGCCAGTATCATCCTCACAAAGTTGAAATTGCTATTTTCATCTCAGTTCTTGAATGTTTTATATTAGCAAAGGCTATAGAATGCTTCTCCTCCTCCAGAGATTTTGTGGAAAAAATAATGAAGCCTTGATACGGAACGCAATCTCTATTTCTGATCTCCCACGAGGGTGACTGCATTTCACATTTGCATCCATATCCAAAACGAGCTTCTTGAATCTGAGGACATATTTTGCAGATAATACAGTGCTCCAGCATCATTGTTATGATGATTTTCTCATTAAATGTTTTAGTTAACTTCATTTATATAGATTATTTTTCTATTGCTTAATTGCTATGACTGTATAGCATAGTGGAGAAGCATTGCAAATTAATATAAAATATTTCTTCTAGATTAAAACCTTTTTCAGTTATATATACACATATTGGATGCATATGTGCATATATAAGAATCCTTTTAATTTGTACAATATATATATATATATAGATATATATACATATATATATTCAATTTAATTGTATTTTGATTTTTATTAAAATATATGCATACTTAGGTAAAGGAATCTATGTTTAAATGAGTATGATAATAGTTGCTTTTTAAAGACCAAAAGAAGTTCTTAAGAAGAATGGTGAATTTGAGAATGGGCGTGGTGGCAGGTGCATGTAATCCCAGCACTTGGGAGGCTGAAAACAGGAGGATCACTATGAGTCTGATCTATGTAGTGAGACCCTGTAGACC